TACTACTACTACTACTACTACGACTACTACTACTACTAAAAAGTTCGATTCTTAATATGATTCTCGGTGTTATGCTCAAGATCCATATGGCCTGTCTTAGGACTATTACTTTTATCCTTCGTATTACGTGTCACAGTATTAGTGTTATTAGGATTACTGATAGTAGTAGTCGTAGTAGAAGTAGTAGTAGTAGTAGTAATAATAATAATAGTAGTAGTAATAGTAGTAGTAGTAGTAGTAGTAGTAGTAGTAGTAGTAGTAGTAGTAGTAGTAGTGGTAGTAGTAATAGTATCAGTACTATTAATAGTATTGCTAGTATCATCCCCTGTAGTACATATTCCTCTTATCCGCATCATGTTTCTCATTATGATGCGCTGGATTCGTACTTCCTGTGTGTATTCTTCTTCGTACTAGGTAATTGCAGGTGGTGATGACATAATGAATATTATTAGTGGTAGCCTTCGTATTGTTCCGATTCTTCTTCATATTCGCAATATCATTCGTACAGATTTTCTAATAGTAATGCTCTTCTGAATATGACATTTTTTTTTTTGTCGTCGTGTTATGATTATTCGTTGTTTGTTTCCTGCATCCTCCTCATCCTCCTCCTTTTTACGTAACAGCGAAGGCTGATAGGTTTCTAATGGTGTCAAAAGAGAGCAGCAGATGACTCCACAGGGGGGTCTGGGCGGCATCCCGGGAGCTGTGTCCGAACTCGTGTCCGAACTTGTTTTTCGCAAACAGTCACACACTTCGTGCTCTTCGACCTCCCAGAACTCCACTCCCCGGCCACATTCTGAATGCCCGGAGCCAACTGTAAGCCACTTCGTGCTCTTCGACTTCCCAGAACTCCATTCCCGGGCCACATTTTGAATGCCCGGAGCCAACTGTAGGCCACTTCGTGCTCTTCGACTTCCCAGAACTCCATTCCCGGGCCACATTTTGGATGCTCGGATCCAACTGTAGGCCACTTCGTGCTCTTCGACCTCCCAGAACTCCATTCCCGGGCCACATTCTGAATGCCCGGAGCCAACTGTAGGCCACTTCGTGCTCTTAGCCTTCCCAGAACTCCACTCCCTGGCCAAATTTTGAATGCCCGGAGCCAACTGTAAGCCACTTCGTGCTCTTCGACCTCCTAGAACTTTATTCCCGGGCCACATATTGAATGCCCGAAGCCACCTGTACGCCACTTCGTGCTCTTCGACTTCCCAGAACGCCACTCCCGGGCTACATTTTGAATGCCCGGAGCCAACTGTTGGCCACTTCGTGCAGCAGGACGAGGAGGACAAGGACCAGCAAGAGGACGAGGAGGAGGAGGAAGACGACGAAGAGGAGGAGCCGGAGAAGGAGGACGAGCAGGAGGAGGAGGAGGAGGAGGAGGAGGAGGAGGAGGACGAGCACGAGGAGGAGAGGGCGGCCGGCTGCCCCGGTTGCCTGCCCCGGCCGGCTGCACGAGGAGGAGGAGGACGAGCAAGACGAGGAGGACGAGGACGAGCAGGGAGGAGGAGGAGGAGGAGGAGGAGGAGGAGGAGGAGGAGGAGGAGGAGGAGGAGGAGGAGGGGAGGCCGGCCAGCTGCCCCGGCCGGCTGCTTGCCCCGGCAAGGGGAAGCCTGCGACTGGGAATGCCATTGCGACTGCGACTGGGACTGATGTTGCCACTGCGACTGCCACTGCGAATCCGAATGCGACTGCGAGAACAAAAAAATCTACACCAGCACTCCTACATGAATACCATAGGCAATGCTTCCTGCTATGCTTTTACACATCGCTGTTAGGTTGCTTTGCCGGGATAATTACGTTAGACCGACATGAGCGTCACCTCTGTGGCGTTTGTCCTTTTCCTCCTCCTCCTCCTCCTCCTCCTCCTCCTCCTCCTCCTCCTCGCCTCCTCCTCCTCCTCCTCTGTCCTCCTCATCCTTCTCTCCTCCTCCTCCTCTCCTCCTCCTCCTCCTCCTCCTCCTCCTCCTCCTCCTCCTCCTCCTCCTCTCTCCTCCCTCCTCCTCCTCCTCCTCCTCTCTCTCTCCTCCTCCTACTACTACTTCTCTCTCGCAGTTCCATCGGACATCCCAAATGCGCCCGCGCCGCGAGGGTGCGCGCGCCGCCCGCCAGCGCGAGGCCCACCCCCTTCCAACTACGGGGGAGGGAGGGGGCACTCGCTCTCATCCTACACCGAGGGGGGGAGGGTAGAGCGGCAGGGCCACTAAGCCGTAGCAGATGTACTTGCCGTAGACGCACCACCTTGGCGGCCACACTGTACACGGATAACCTTGTCCGTAGCGCTGTAGACGTGACACGTACACGTAAAAACACAATCCATTGCGCTGTAGAACAAGTACTACCGGCATGAAGGGGATAGCACGATGGAGTGCCATAATTGGTGGCTTCTGGTAGGCCAGTGTCATCGAAATTATTGCACCATCCGATCGTAGACTGCGTCGAACAAGCTTTCGCCGTGGAAGACGTCTAAACAAAATGTGACCACCCCTGGCTGGCCTCCAGACACGGCGCAGCCGCAAAAGCGATCGAACCCGCATTCACTTTCCACCAGATCTCGACACTGGTAGGCCTCGACCGTCTCTCGGCACATGACGTCGAGCCGCTTGTGGGGGTACATGTCGACGGGCTCGACGTTAGCACTCTTAACGCCGATGGCCATCGATGCAGATCCGAATACCCAGCCCTCCGCGGTGGTATCTCACGCGCCCAAAGTGCCCTCGCGGCCATTGTGGCGCTGCCCTCGTTGTGGTCCTGCTCGTTCAACGTTCAAATGCTTCGGTTTGTTCTCGCACTCCGGCGAATTACGCCGGCGGCTTTCGTAGCTCAGGCGATTGCCCTCGTCGCTCCTCAGGTGGTCCTTGTAGCTCGGCTTGTTGGCCAGCCAGCTCAACAGGCGGCCCTCGCAGCTGCGCCACTGGCTCTCGGAGGTCTGCTCGTGGCCCCTGCAGTTCAGTTCGCGAGAGGCTCTCGCAGTTCTGCCCGTGGCCCGCGTAGCTCAGGCTGCGCGCGAGAGGGGCGAGCGAGAAAGACAGCCAGTCAGCAAATACCCACCCCCTGTGGACTAGCGCCTGCACAGGGCACTTGGCCGCAGGACACTCCACAGAGACGCGCGCACCTCGAGGGTTGCGCACAGAGATGTGAAAGAAGAAGACAACTAAGAAGACAACTGCGGGCGCCCCCACCTGCCCGGCCCGAGACGTCTTCCACGCCCCCCCCCCCCCCCCTGACGACACATGGGTGGCGGAAGCAAACAGACGATGAAAAAGACCTGGCCGGGCAGACCTCGCAGCGACGGCATTCCGAGGGAGGCGGCGGTAGAGACGCGTCAAGATGTGAACCCGTGGAGAAGAGGATTGAAAATCTGGCATGTGCACACGGCGTCAAAATAGCATGGACACCAGTTGAATTGCCCACTGCACAGCGCGCTGTAGCTCAAGATGCACACCTGACGGGAGCAACCGACAAGGACAGCAGGATTGCGAGAGCGCGCGCGGGCACGCGCACGTCGACGCGCGCCCCTCGACGCACACCTGCGGGGGGGCAGGACAGAGGAAGAGAACGGAGGAGAGGAGGAGGAAGAGGAGGAGGAAGAACATGTCGACGCGCACCTGCGGAGAGGCGGAGCGCTGCCCATTCGACCCGAGGGGCGCGAGCTCGGGCCGACGAGCGAAACAACGTGAAACGATGCGAGCTCAACCTCTGGGTTCCTCGAGGCCCAACTGCCCCGAGGAGAGGGGGCACCGACAACGCCGCCCCCCCCCCCCCCGACAAGAGACCACGCGAGAGAGAGTGAAAGAAGATGAAGAAAAGAAAGAAAGGAGATGGAGGAAGCATCGCCCCCGCCCAAAATGGGCTGCTCTCAACGATCTGGGGCGCGCCAGCCCCGCCCAGAATGGGCTGCTCTTATCGACGAAGGCCGGACTCTGGCCACCTCGAGCGCGTCATGTAATGCTCCGCGGTGGGAGGTGCCAGCTCGCGGGGCTGCGACCCCCCCGCAAAGGCCCCTCATTTGCGACAAGACGAAGGGGGAAGGGGGGCAGGGAACGGACCCGACTCCAGAGAGACGCGGGGGAGTGAATTCCAACAACCCCCAGAGGCAGCGGAACCGGAAGAGAGGAGGGGGAATGGAGATAGGGGGAAAGTACCCCCCGAAGAGGGACATCCGCGCCCATGCGATGCAAGAGAAGAAGAATAGAGATCTGCACGGAGCTGCAGCGGGGCCCACCACGAGGACTCAACCTGCAGCTGTGGATGATGCGAGCTCTGCGAGGAAGAATGACCTGAACGTGACTGCGACAACCATCAAACGCAAAACAAATCAGAAGGTAGTGGGTCAGCTGCGGGTCCCTAGTGGCCCCCGCCGTCGACGTCTCGGAATCGTCAGCGCGCGCAGGATAGACTTGGCCCCTGCTTGTCTGGCGCGATGTGCACCGTGCGACATGCGCGCGGCCCAAGCGGGCGAAGACGTCCTCAACCCGCGCCCCTACTCAGCATCTCTGATTCTCGAGTCTCGTTTCGAACCTGGGAGAGGCGACACATGCGTCCTGCATGAGGTCCGCCGCCTGCGAGGGCGAAATCGCCAACCGAAGTCGGGTGACCAGCTGGCCAGCCTGGGCCCGTACATCATGCAACTCTGCCAGGGCGCTGGAGTTCCGCGACACGATCACAGAAATGCTCCCCG